ACTTGTCCCTTTTTGACGTGTCTCTGCCTGGCAAACCAGGATGTCCAAAATGAGGTTTTTAAAATGTACCACTGATGGCAGGTAGTGCTCATCTGGAATCGCATGGGAACTGTGCCTTTCGCTGGAGCACGGCTCCTTTGAGCTCAAGGTCAGCTGAAATCCCGGTCCTGGAAAGCGGAGAGGCAACTTCGAGCAGAGGGAGGAAGACAGATGTTAGGGGCACTATCAGAAGACTACTTCCCGTGAGATGGTGTAGGTCCCGATCGTTGGGAAATCTCCGCTAGTCGTACAGCCTTTGGTTGCAGTTAAAGGAACACTGTTGAGTTTGAGCCCCTGAGGGGAGAAGGGCGGCCTCACAGACGGTGCCGCTGTGGCGTGCAGCCGGGCACCGTGCGTGGAAGTGAAGGACGAACGTTACCTGTTGTGCTGGGCACTCTGGGATTTTCTTCAGTGTAACTGGAGACATACACATGCAGGTGAGGATAGCAGGAAAGAGTGAGACAAATGTATTTCGAAATGATAAGGAAACATGCGTAGTTACAAGTCAGAGGAATAGCAGGTGCCACACCCCAGCCCGTCCTCCATCGTACTCATCGTTAATACTCCCCTTTCTAAAACATGGCCAGTAACCGCTTTCACTTTGCTTTCTCACATCTTTCAAAACACACGGGTACTCACAAGGGGGAGAATCAAGTGATGAGTACAGTCGTGTCTTTCTGTTCCGTTTTCCAGGGCGCTGAAATCTGTAAAAGAGAGTTTGTGAGTAGTGGGGTGCCGTTAGCAGATAAGTCATATCCAGCTCAGCTCTGTCAGTTTAGCTTAGTAAATGCCTTGTCCAGGTGTCACTGCGGTAAATCAGCATTACAAGTTTATTTTCATATCCTTTTACAGAAACGTTTACAGTAACGTCTCAAAAGGCTGGAATACTCAGAGTATAGTGCTCTGCTTTGTACTTCTGTAAGTGAAAGTAAAACCATTTTGGTTTATCTTTGCTGAAGGTCTGAGAATCTCACTGTGCCTAAATAAAAATCTTAAAAAAAAAAAAAGAAATTAGGAAGGTGGTACTATAACTCATTTGTATGAATTCATTGTATTTGGAAAGTGAATTAATTAGCCTTATAAAATCATTGACTACAAAGATACCGTGTGTTATCTTTGTACTCAGAAGTCTATGTGAGTGACTTCTTTTGGAATTAGATGCGGCAGGCAGCCATCGTCACTTCTCTCCCGCCCTGAGCTGCAGCCTGTTTCCACACCCTTCCCTTAAACTCTGGTGCACTAAAAGTGACACCACATCTGATGCCTTTTTATTTACTTTATTTATTTATTTATTTATTGGTAACACCTTAAAATAAGAACTGTATTAAGTTTCTTACCAAAGTGGGAATATCAGAGAAAAGTTCTTTAAGAACAAGAACAAAAGCCCTGTAAAACACCGGAATTATTTTTTTTAAATGTCAAACCTCAAAGCAGCTGTCATTTTTTAGATGGACTTTCATTACAAAAATCAGCTGATGAACACCAGTATTTCAGAGACTCCTATATGTTCCACTTCAAGTTATAATAATGTTACCTAAATGGGATCATTCTTTAGAATTTGGTTGATAAAAATGATTTGTACATAGTTGTTTGGTTGATTTAGGTGTCTAGGAATATAATGACATGCTATTTATAATAATGTGTCTTTGTTTTTTCTTTGTAAAATCCCTTCCTAAAAGATACTAGTTTTCTTAAGTGAAAACAATTTTAATTGTCACCAGTATTAAGTAGGCCGCTTCTATAGGAGAACTCTGTCATCACGTTGATTCTCTTCTTAGCCCGGGCTGTTAGCCTTTACTCAGAGAGTTAGGGAATCTGGGAAACCAAAGAGAAATTACATTAAAAAAAAAATACATAAATGAAGATACTATTTCTTTCTGGTTTGGTTCTGGTCAACCAGGTGGAATGAGATTTGAAACATTTCACTAAAATTAAACTTATTAAAGTCAGTTATGACTTTGTGTGAACTGAAGTAAGTCAGATTATATAATTACCATGTTCATACAGTTGCTCTTGCTGGAAATTTAGAATACTTGGGTTATGAATTTTCAATAATGCCACTTAAAGTAAGGGAAGGCATGTTCAAGGAGCTGCCTGTAGTTTGAGATGGGGTCCCTCCAGCTTTCTGGGGCCATTGAACACGAAGGAGGAAAAGAAACCTGTGACTATCATGTTGAGGGAAGAGCAATGGAAATTGTTGAGTGAACTCTATCTTCTGCATGCAAAACATACTGCTAATTACAGATAGTGGCGAATACAAAAGTGTAAGATAAGAATCCTGCTTTCTAGCTCTTTTCCAATTCAGCGAGGAGCTCTGACGTTTTAAAAATTAAGAATAAAGAACCAAATTATGTTTGGTAATTAGGACAGATAATGATTGTTAATTAAATACTTTCAGAAAGAGGGAGAAATGAAGAGAAGAAATTAACATGGAACTCAGTAGAATGCCAGAAAGGAGGAAGCAGGTGCCCCCAAGCAGAGTAGCAGATTGAGACACAGTGGTATTCCTCTCCTTGGCTTGGTTGGCTCTAACAATGATCGAGGCAGTTCTGTGTGTTTTCAGCTGTGGGCACAAATGCAGCATTCCTTTCTAAGTACTTGTTCTGCATAGGATACAGGAAACTCAGCCTCCATAATCCTGTATTCATCTAGATTTGTTGGTTGACGTCTAGTGACTTTTCTGGGAGTTGTGGGGTGGACTGTCAGGCCCACAAGGGCAGGGGTGTTTTTCTTGTGATTTTCCAAGTTCCTGGAACACTGCCTGCCACGTTGTGGCCTCTCGGTTAGAACGTGAGAATTAGTTAAGTTTCAGTAAAATGGGGCTCTGTAAGCGGACCTGTTAAGTCTCATAGTCAGCTGTCAATCTGCTGTCCAGGCCTTTGATATATCAGCATTTTCTTTTTCTTCTGATGAGCTCGCATAAGGAAAGCAGCAGAGGTCTGGCAAGATGGTAAGGGTTTACTAGAAACTGGAACCGTGGAGAGGAGGAGTGACACATTTGAGAGGAGTATGAGAAATTCAGTTTTGGAAGTACTGAGTGTGAAGTCCCCCACGTGGTCTAGGTGAGCATGTGGGTGAGCGGTTGGGCTCAGCACGTCCTTTACGTAGAGTTTGTAGCCGAAGCTGCGAATGCCCGCAAAACTGGCTGAGGAACAAGGGCCACCGCTCCCGGAGCTCCTAGAATAGCCCTGTCGTTGCCCTTCACATTGATTCCACTTCCCCCTCTCAGTCTTGTTAAATGCATGCTCCTGTTTCCCATTGCGTAGGTCAGAACACTGAGCTTTATTAGCACGATGAGCTCTTTTTCCTGGGTCACATAGCAGGTGAGGGTGAGAGCTAGGCTTTGTTTCTAGACCCATCTGCTCCCGAGTATCAGCTGGCGGCAGGTGATACCGAAACGTACAGGAAAAGGAGGACATAGCAAAGGCCACCGAATATATTTTTCTAGGAATCGTTGGTAACCTGCAAGCGTATTCTTGCTAGAAACCTGATGTAGCGACAGAGTACAGATTGCAAAGAATTAAGGAATAAATGAGTGGAAAGTTTTATAAAAAATGGAAGTGATAAGTTAAGACTATTGTTCTGGAGAAGTTGAGGGGAAAGCAAGAAATAGGACAGTAAGGTGACTTTATAGATCAAAGAGGACTTGGGAGAATGTGGGAATTTTGCTATGATTTTTATTTTGTTTTAGGATTTCATTCATGCATGCATTCATTTATTTCAACAAATATTTATTGGTTGCCTGTTCTCTGCCAGGTTTAGGGGGGAGATATAGTGGGGCAACAGTCCAAAGTTCTTGCTGTCATGGAGCAGGAGGAGGCGAGAGTGGGTGTCAAGAAACACAATCTGGAAACCAGTGTCTGGATAAATTCTATACAAAGAGTTAACAGTAGAGTATAACATGACATAGTATGTCTGTATGGAAGTCTTAGATTGTATGATAGAAAAGGGCTGCTTTAGAGATGTTCTCTGAGAATCCGAAAGATAAGAATATAGCCCATCAGCGGGAAGAGAGTTAAGTTAGTTCAGGCATCGAGAGTAGATGATGCCAAAGCCTTAAGTTGGGAATAAGTTTGACATACTGGATGGAGGGCAGTGAACACCGGGGAAGGTAGTATGAGATCAGAGAGGTAAGCAGAATTCAGATGTTGTGGGACTTTGTAAATTGGGGTAAAGAATATGGATCCTTATTTTAAGTGAAATGAGAAGTTGATACTTGAAGAGATTTATGAAGGTTAATTATACATGATCTAATTTCTGTCTTAAAATGAGCACCCTGGTTGTTGTGTGGACAATACATTAATGGAGGGTGGGGGCAGGTGAAAGCAGAAGACCAGTTCGTAAGTTGTTGCTCTTATTCACACAAGAGATCATGGTGGCTTGAACTAAAGTCCTGGTAGTAATAGAGGTGGGGAGAACCGATTAGACTGGGGGTGTGTTTTGGGGGAGGATTTAACCAGCCCCGCTGATGGATGAGATGTGGGGTTTCAGTCAAAGAGAGGAATCACCGTGATTTCAGGATCTGGGCATGAACAAGCGGGCAGATGAATGGGCAGTATTCGAGGGAGACATCAGCGTGGTTACACACTGAAACGGAGGATCCATTGGAAGGAGCAGGACTGAAGTTTGCAAGGGAAAGAATTCGTGACATAGCAAGGTGCCAGTGGAGATGGGCACACCTTGCGGAGCTGATTTGAGACAGAAGTGTAGGAGTTGGCCTTACACAGCAGAGGGAAAGAGACAAGACAGAAATTTCAAGATGAAAAGGAAGTTAAAAGCAAATATTGGATGGCCTTGAATTTTAATAAAATATTAGACCTATTACTATATTCAGTTACAAACAGCTCAACTACATACTAATTGTTTTATGTTCTGTGTATTAACTTTCTAATTTAACCTTAATTTTTATCATTGTATAACCTGTCACTTTGTGCATATATAATTTTTTTTTCTTTTGGCAGGTTGTAAGCTCTACAAATGGAGAGTTGAACACAGATGACCCTACCGCAGGACGTTCCAATGCACCCATTACAGCCCCTACGGAAGTGGAAGTGATGGATGAGACCAAGTATGTATTTGTTTGTCTTCTTTTAGTAGCTTTTTGTGCTTCAGCTGTGAATGTTTGAGACTTACAGTCATGTACAATTATTCCAGGAAATTTTTTTCAGGGAATAGGTGCATGCAAAACAAGTGATACTTTTAGTTATTTTAATCACTGAGTTTAAAATAGTGCTATTTCAGTAAATATTTTATAATACAAAAATATTCATTTAAGAACTATGCTCAGTTTCTTACTTAGAATTAACAGCATATTTTTGGCTTTTTATTTTTAGGAGTATTGACGCATGAAAATTATTTCTGTAGGGTAGATGCTCAGTTTTTTTTCTTTGTAAGCATAAGAATAAATAATTATTTTTATAGTATCCTGCATGTATTCATATTAGTTTTAAAGTAGTTTTTCTGTGAATGTAAATGATAATGCTGCTTGGAAAAAAAAAGTAAGCATGAAAAACAATGATAATTTCAATGTGGGCTATTTCTGATGATTTCTCCCTCTCTCTCCCTCCCTCCCTCTCCTTCCCTCTCCCTCCCTCCCTTTCCCTCTCTCTCACTTTCCTTGTATTTTTCTTTTTGTGTGTGTGTATAGCTGCCAGAAAGTGTTGAACATGTGGTGAGTTTTCAAGTGTAGGCAGGCAGAAATAGCTCCCTTGATTGTAATTTCAAAGATTTAGCATCATTTTGCAAACGAAATTACAATTGGTCAAAGTTGTTCAAAATATTTGGTGTCATTTACAGTAGGTCTGAAAAGCAAGAAATAATTGTTTGAGGAGCTCTTTTGCCTGCTGCAACTTTTTTTTTTTGTTCAAGTGACATAGATTTGGGGGCACTTTTTAATTGAGTAGTTGATAACACCCACTCTGCTTGTGCTTGTGCGTTTGTTCTGTAACACAGAGGCTTCATTTGCTATTTTAAATAGAAAGACAGGATTTTGAGTTTTAAGCTCTCTTTTTTCCAGTTCAAAAAACTATTAAATACACATAGCAGATCCTTCACCCCCACCCACCCCAAGAGCATCACTAAGAGAGTATTTCATTGGCTAACTATATTGCCGTTGAGTACACAAGGAATACACTGATACATGTATGATTAACTACAGTGAGAGAGTGCTATGGAAGTCCTCATCTGAATAGTTCCTGCTCATTGCAGATTTATGAAAAATATATTCCTGTTAAGTCGAGTTAATGTTGGATTTAAACTCTTCTCTGATCTTTGCCTCTAGTTGTAATGCTGTGTTTCATATGTTCCTCTCAGTTTCAGGACAAATCTTGAGTGAGCCTGGGAGTGAATAAGGAAAGTTGCTTAGATTAGCAAATTTTGGAACATTCTACTCCTATCCAAAAGGAGCCTTACATGAATTCCAAAATAATGCTCATTTGCTGGTTGCAAGATGAGGAGACTTTTGTTGGGGATATTTCTTTTTCAAGAGCAGTGATCAAGTGTCCATTTTTATCACTTTGACTGTGGAATTTATTGACAGTATGACCTAGTGGATTTGAGGATGTAGTGAATCAGCTACATACTTGTGCATTTTTACATCAAGAACAAATACCACCATCGACGTTTGCTTGTGCAGTTGTAAGCGGAGTTCCGAAAGTGGTGTGGCCGAGTGGGGCACACAGGTCCTGTGCGTCCAGCATGGGTCGTAGAATCCTGCTTCTACAACTTAGAGTTGCCTTCTTCAAGCTTGTTTCTTTCTCTCTAAACTGAGGCTCATAATAACTGCTTCGCAGGTCACTGAGGAAATTAACTGTGATAAAGCACTGCCTTTTTGTCTGGCCCATGGCAGGTACTCAGGAGCTATTCCCACCCTGTTTATTTCCTGGGGGCCAGCCACCTCTCCCATCTTTGTTCTCCTCGGCCTTGTCCCTCCAGCAAGTGTCCCCTGTTTTTCCTTCCACACCCATACTCTTCGCTGAGACTTGGTGTTCTGTGTCCACTTCGTCCTAGACACCTGCTTTGAGCCAAATCGATTCCCCTTTCCCATGTTTTCAGTCACCACTTACACCGCTTGGTTTTAGCAATAATCTGAACCCACCCCAGCCCTTGAGTAGATGGCTCACCAGTAGGGAAGATTAACGCACGTTCATGGATGCGGTTTCAAATTTGATAGTGGTGATGGATGTAAAACTCCTTGAATGTATTAAAAACCACTGAATTGTATATTTTAAAAGCATGAATTTTATGATGATTTGAATTATATTTTAATAGAGCTGTTATTTTTTTAAATATGGAGAGCAGCCCATAGTTTCGGTAAAGCCTGACTCCAGATGGGTTACAGAAATCCTCTGACCTTCCCTGCCTCTTCACTGGTTCAAGACTTCCAGCACGTCACATTTGGTTTCCCTTTAATCAGGGTGACTCTTACATTCCTGCAAGTTTGTTATTGCATTTCTCATACCTTCTTAGTTTGTGGTGAGGGACTGTGAGTGTGATTTTTTCCTAAATTGCATCTTCTCTCTCGTACCCTTTTATAGGTCTATAGGAACCTGCCAAGATTCCCTTTCAAAATATGTTTCCAACTCCCTCTCTTTCTTCTCACCTGTGATTGGCGGAGGCCCCTCTCACCCACCCCATTAATTATAATGTATTTCACATTGGTCATTTTAGAGGCTCAGGCTTCCTAGAATAGTACCTTATAGGCCTTGATCTATAATTTCCAAGTGATGCAAAATATTCTGTTGTCCCGCATTTAAAATGGCTCATCCATTAGTAATGAGATTTTGCCTTCTTCACTGTGGCTGAGAATTTTCTTTTTTTTCAAGACAGGTGATACAAGTGGTATCACCCTCATCATTCCTTCCAGGAATTTAGGAAAACAAGGCTTCCTTTGGTTTAGTTACTGAGTTTTTAAGTAGTATGTAATTATCTTTTTTCACCTTTATTTCTCTTTGTGTTCCCTTTCCAACATTGCTGAACAGTTACCGTGCATTTGGTAACATGATTACGAAGATAAGTCAAGGCCCCTGTGCTCCCTTAGAAAAAATAGCAAGGACACCAGTAACTTTGACATAGTGGTCCTCAGTCCTGGCTTCCAATCACAAGCATCTGGGGAGTTTCAAAAATATGCTAACACCTAGGCTGTGCTATCAGAGTTTCCAATGTAATTGTTCTGTGGTGGGGGTCTGGTTGACAATATATATTTTTTTAAGATTTTATTTATTAGAGTGTGAGCATGAGCAGGGCGGGGAGGGGTACAGGGAGAGGGAGTGGGAGAGGGAAAGCAGGCTCCCCACCGAGCAGGGAGCCCGATGCGGGACTCGATCCCAGGACCCTGGGACCATGACCTGAGCCGAAGGCAGATGCTTCACCGACTGAGCCACCCAGGTGCCCCTGGTTGACAGTATTTTTAAAAAGCTTGTAAGATGATTCTGAGGAGCACCCAGGATTGAGAATCATTGGTCTAATACCAGGTATTACAGGATTAGCTCATAGGATACAGTGTGACTGGATTTAAGAGACTGGAATGTGCTCTTCCAGCTGGAAGATCAGAGGCATCTTCACGGGTAAGGGTACATTTGCCCTGGTTCTTCAAGATAAGCAGGCTTGGCAAAGGAGTTGGGTGCAGGAGTCCGAGAGAGGAGGCTGAGCAACATGTGGAGCAAGGACAGAGTGAGGCAGGTGTGAGAAGTGAGCCATTCGTGTATAGCGTGTGCGAATGCGTCCCGGTGGGAGCTGAGATATTCCAAGTGCCCAGTCTCAAAGGCCCTTAGTAGCCAGGTGAAAACAACAAAAAAAAGACATGATCCTTTCTCAACACAAGCAAGCAAGGTGTGGGTTTTAAGCGAAGAAATGGTATAATCAGATTGAGCCTTGAGACAATTAGTTTGGCAACACTTTTGAGGCTTATGTCATTTCCTGGGGTTCATTAGATTACACAAAATCAATCCGTCCTCCCCTTCTCTCCCTTCTGTAGTACAGACTGCCTGGAAAGGCAGCTTGATGCGAGATGACACTAAGAGGAGAGGGAAATAGATCGGAACCAAATTCGTAAGAGCTGTGTGTGTGGACCCAATGCCTTAGACTGTGGGAGAACCAGTGGTGAGATTTAAATGGCAGAGCTGGCAAGGCCATATCTCGGTGGGCGCAAGTTGGGATGGCGCATTGGAGAGAGGAAGACACTTAGCCTGGACGTCTGTTAAGAGGCTCTTAGCAGTGGGGGAGGCCAGAAGTTCTGAAGTAAGCCAGCATTAGAGGATGGGACAACTTTGAAAATCATTTCAGACTTGAGGGACTAATTGCATGTGGATGGCGAGGAAGAAATTGAGGATGAGGTTGGATCTGCGGGTTCCCACTTGGAGTAGCTATGTGGATGGTCTTGGGCTTCTATCTAAACTCTTCTTGCTTGACTGATAGTTCTGCATTTTTCACACCAAGAGGTCCAGAGATAAGAAATTATGTTTTCGTGTATGGATCTGAAGGGGGCAAATCCTTTGTCAAAGAATTAAAGATAGATGCCTTAAAAGCTGTTTTCTGTATACTCATCAACCTAGATAAGGAGAGGCGAGGCCAGGAGACCTGAGTGGGTAGGGCCTAGCAGCTGTGAAGCAGTCTTTCAGCCAAAGGCAAAGCCAGTGAGTCTTTGCAGAGGGGACAGACAGGAACTTCCTGTCCAGACAGAGACCCGTGTGTCAGTTCCAGGTAGAGGGAGAAGGAAGGCTAAGACCTGCATCCAGGAAGATAGCCAAATCCTAGAGGCAGGAAAAGGCCATGAATGAAAGGGAAGTGGTGCAGTGTCACTAGCAAAGCCTCGGCCCTTCTCCTGTGTGTTTTCTACATAGTTGAGGACTTGGATCCATTATGATCTCCTGTTTACCACCTTAACAGTTTTTACAGCAACAGCCCTCAAGTTCATCAGAAGCAGGATTTAACCATTTATTTTGAAAGAATTTAAGAGTAGAGCTGTGGTGGGATATCCGGGTGGCTCAGTTGGTTGAGCATCTGCCTTTGGCTCAGGTCATGATCTAGGGGCCTGGGATCGAGCCCCGCGTCGGGCTCCCTGCTCCGCGGGGAGCCTGCTTCTCCCTCTGCCTCTACCCCTCCCCCTGCTTGTGTGCTCTCTCTCTCACTCTCTCTTTCAAATAAATAAATAAAATCTTAAAAAAAAAAAAGAGTAGAGCTGTGCCTTCAAAGCTTTTAGGCTAGCTACGGAATCCTGTCAGAGGCATGGACCTGACTCGTGAGAGCATACTGGCTTACTGGAACCACACAGGCATAAGCGAGAAAGAAAAGCATTGACAAGAACATGATTTAAAAGTCTGGTAACCTTCATCAGTTACCCCAGGGCTGTCAGTAGTCTAAATCTGAAGAGACACCAAATGAGGCATCAACTAACGAATAAGTAAATATCGCCACTGAGCAGCTTGGAAAAAAATGTGTTTAAAAATTTTAAAGGTGTGGATAATTTCCTAAGACCAGGTAGTTGAATATAGTGATCACCTCACCTGTGGGAACTTCCCTCTGTGCTCATTCCTGCACTATTTGCTATTATTTGCAGTTACTGTTATCAGTGACTTTCGTTCCTCTTCGACTTGCAGCAAGTGTCAGAATTACATTGTTTCCTTTTACACCTTGCCCGCACTCTTGTCAGCATGGTGGCCCCTCAGTGTCTGAGGTGCTCAGCTCACAGCTTCTGGGACAAGGACTCACTGGAAATGGAGAAGCCGGAGGGGAGGCCAGGCAGGTGCACGTAGGCAGAGCAGGGCTTCTTGGGTTTAGACTCCTGTAAGAATCTGATGCAAACCGATTTTCTCCAGGGAAGCTTCCACAGGCACTCAAATCTGCATTTTGTGAGATTTCATTAGGCTTGTGGGCCCTGGGGTAAGAACTCTAGCTTTAGAACGTGATGTAGAATTTTTGACTAGGTTCTTACTCTAGGGGTTGCACTTATGAGGAAAGTCACTCATTTATTCAATAAATACTAAATGAGTACCAACTCTGTGCCCATTTGTGGGATGTATCTGTGGACAAGCCCTTACGAAGCTTACATTCTGTGTGGAGGCAGATAATCAGTAAATAAATAAGATAAATTCAGATTAGTCTGAGGACTGAGAGGAGCGTAAAATGGTCATGTGACAGAGTGGCCATATGGGAACCACTCTGTTTTAGATGGAGGGCAGTTGATAGGAGACCTAATTTCTTAATCACAGACTGTAAATCAGCTGCTTTGTAATGAGTTTTAAGAAACCAGCCACAGGTTAAATATCAATTTTCTTCTTTTTATAACTATACTCTATTTTGAGAGCATCTCTCCTTTATTTGGATGCGTTCGTATTGCCTAGAGCAATGCTGTCCTCTGGTGGTAGTCAGTTTAATAGCATGCCAGCTTCCCTGGCAAATCAGTTTCAAGGGTGTACTCTATTTGGTGGGATTTATTTCTAACAAATAGATGCCTTTTTTTTAGATTGCCTTTTAATTTAAAAGGCCTCTACAGTTATGATTCATTTGAAAGTTTCATTTAATCTCAAGTAAATGCTTGGATTGGTTTTCTGTGTTAAATAATACATAATTGAAGAAAAGATGACATAAGGAATAGGAAGGACTCTGCTGTCTTGAGCTGGAAAGCAGATTGATGATACTAGAAAAATAAGCCAGACAAGGTAAATTGCTAATATAAGTGTGGAAAATCTGGAACTTGTTGATCAAAACATGTATTACATTAAACTCCCCGTTCCAAAAGGCTTATTAAAACACTTTTTAACAAACACTTATTAAAACACCTTTTCAGCAGAAAAATCTTAAAAGATTGTAGTTTGGAATTTGAAGAGACAAATGACAGTATTTGGAAACAGTGAACATTATTAATATAACTTTATATTAAATAATAGGTCTCCATTGAAATGTGATCATATTCTTAAATTTAATATTCTAAATATTTGGTCTGTTCCTTCTAAATACCAATTAATTTTTTTTTTTTTTTTTTACAATATGAACGTTTTATGACTTTTCTAAGTCCTTTATTGGAAGGTTTTCTTTTTTTTTGAATAATGGTTTTCATCTCTTAGAATCTGAGTTAATTTTTTTCATTGTTTTATTTTAGAAAATTTATATAACAGATTTGAGATAGTATTTAGGTAGCTGACAGTTACAAATAAAGTTGACTTATTTTTATAAATCCAGGAAAAATCGATTGTATCCAGAATCATCCTTTATAGAGGTAGCTCTTTTCAAGGCCCCTGTTGGGTAATTTGTTTCTGGTTGCTCTGGTGATCACCTCAGTAAAAGTAAAATTCATAAAGATTGATAACTGCCCAGACTTTCAGTTGAGTCTGTAGCAGCTGACATATATAGGTTTGAATTATTCACACTCCATGGTCTAATCATTATGTCCTGTTTGAATGGGGTTAAAAAATCCAGTCGTGTAATTTGGTTTTGAATGCCCCATAGTGATTTCATAGTCATGGCATAAATCACAGTAAATGGTCTGAAATTATTTTTGACTAACGATAATGTGGGTGGAGAGATTGTGTAATTGAGCTGGGACAGTATGGGTTTCTGTTTACATTTCTTTCACAGAAAGACATAAAAGATAATCTAGCAATTATTTCATCTTCCACAATCTTTTGCTGGAGAGGACACTTAAAGCTAGGTGGTCTCCATTATGCTTAGCTTGAAATGACTTGTTTAATAGCCTTCTTTGCAGGCAGGCTGGTAAGAGTTAGAGGAACATCGTTATAAGGTCACATTCTGTACGAGCTTTGAATTGGCAGCATTTTGTTGATTGAATCACCATGCATATAGATATTTTTTTAATTACAAAACAGGATTTACATATTTACATATGCACACACACTAGGCTTCGTTGGAAAAGACAAAAGAGCTTCTATGTGTCGCCTGTCTTCTTGATACTCTGATAGATGGACTTTCCTTTAAATGTAGAAGGGGAAAAGAGCCAGACCTGTATTTGAAGGAATGCCAGACTTTTAGAATAGATATATGCATGTGGGTATGTATTTTTTTGTGAGTTTCTGCTCAGTGATTCTCCTCTGTAGAGAGTTGGCACCAGCCTCAGCATCACTCCCGACATGCTGCATGTGTTTCATCTTCTCAAGACTAGGGGAGAACTTACTGTGGAAAAAACCAGGTCTCTCAGGCATCATCTCTAGATTTTTTTTTTTACTTAGGAATGAAACTCCGAATGCTTTTCCCTCATAGACTGCAAGACTGAATCACCTTGATTATGCTATTTTAAATGTTAAGCACAATTTTTACTTTCATTAACTTAGGATCTGTTTGACCTTAACTCTTTTTTTTTTTTTTAAAGATTTTATTTATTTATTTGACAGAGAGAGGGAACATAAGCAGGGCGAGTGGGAGAGGGAGAAGCAGGCTTCCCGCAGAGCAGGGAGCCCTATGCGGGGCTCGATCCCAGGATCCTGGGACCATGACCTGAGCGGAAGGCAGACGCTTAACGACTGAGCCACCTGGGCGCCCCCAGTTTGACCTTAACTCTTAAAGAATTAAAAAGTGCCAGTATTGACATGTTAGTTAATGCATTTTCTCTCTTCCAGTTTGTAAATGTGGTGGAAAATGTTTGTTGAAGACTCTATTTGGGCTTTCTCTTTTTCTTTCTGGAATCTCATCCTTGGTGAAAATCAGTTCTTCAGTATTAGGATAATTATTGCTTTTCTTACAATGACTTTAATAATCATATGTAAATATCAGGAAGAAAGGGAGAGAATGCATAAGATGAATTTTATAAAAGCATGCCCCTGCCAGCGGTTAATGAGTATTCAAAATAAAATACGGTGGGTCAGTGAGGATTCAGAATTCCACACCTCCTCATTTAGTCTTGGTGCAAAGCCTTTTCAATTTAGTGGCTCCTTGTAATGTTGCATAGAATGTCTGGCTGTCTTCATAAAAGGCATGTTGATGAAACTGTAGTAATAACTCTGCCCTAGGTTCACTAATACATACGCTTCACTGGCATGTTCACTGTGTATCTTGCATTAGCCTGTTGCTTTTTACGACCATTGAAATTAATATGCTAAGCTCAGTCTTTACTTTGTGACCCTTTAGTACCTTTATAATACAAGAAGTGTTTCCCTCCATCTGCAGGTGCTGCTGTTTTTTCAAACGAAGGAAAAGGAAAACCATACAGCGTCACAAATGATTCTGGACACAGACAGATCATGGGGAGTTACTTACGTGTTCATCTGCTGTCTTGTGATTAAAATCATCTCTGTAGTGACCACATATATTTCCAAGGACTCACTCTTAGAAACAAAATGTCATACTTTCATACTTCATTTTGTGGTTGTCTTACATTCATATTTTTTTCTAATTTAACTTTTATGGAAGCTTTAAAGTTTTGTCCAAACATGAGTGCTTTGCCCATCAATGAATGGAATGGACCGAGGAGGTGGTACTGACGGATACAGTTCTAAAGACATTTTTCAGAAGCTCTCCTCCTGTTGTAGAAAGCAGTACAGTATCTTCAGTGTCAAACAGTTACATGCCTAATCTGGTTTGTTTTTTTTTTATAACTTCTGTAAGAGCATAATCAAGCAGGAATTTTCTCCCCAGTGGATAATGCAACAGAGAAGACGCAGTTGCCCAAATATGTAAAAGAAGTTATTTTGTGAGAAGTTCATTTCTTGTGTGACATCCGCATTGATTTCAGTATTACTGATGGTACTGCTAGTCATGAGTCATATTAACATTCTCTCTGTGAAATCATGGTACAGTCACTGCCCAGAGGTACTGAGGAAAAAGCTCTATGGGTTTGGCAGACGGTAGTGGTCAAACGAATCACCAGTAGCGTGCTAGATAGGAGCTCTGCTTTTGTGGCACCACGACGTGAAGTACAGTGTTGCTGAAGTGGCAAAAGCGCCTTTAAAAAAAAAAAAAAATGCAAAATATTTGTATAATGTAACTTTATGCTTCCAGATAATTATGTTAGACAGCAAGAAATGAATACTTTGAGAAATTAAATATTTTTTTTTTTTTTTTTTAAATACACTAAGGAGAAGAAATAAATGTGAATCTCATTGCAATGTGTAAGGTTGAAGTCTGAGGAGATCCCACTGAAACCTGCTGAATGATTACATTCTCCCTTAAGCAGAAAATTTTGGATGTGCCATGCAGTGGTGTCTGTTTATTAATTATTTGCTCTTTGATAAAAAAAAAAATAAGGACCCCCAGCAATAAAAACTGGGTCACTCTATTGCCCTCTGTGCACATTAGTCTCTTGTATTCAACTTTGCTGGTTCTCTGAAATTTTCCTACTTTTTAGTATAATTTTGATGATTGAAAACTATTTTGGAAAGGATGGGTCAGGTGCTTTGCCTCCATAGTCTTTTGAAGTGCCTGCATATGAACAAAGTAACAGTTCTGTAAAAAAGGAAACCCATTCCACTTTTTAAGTATGCTTTGTTTTAAGCCATAAAGACACAGGTGTACTTTAGTCGCATTCTACTAGCCAGATTCTTCAAGAAGAGTTAAGACATAAAGACTGGCTAGAACAAGAATGATGTTTTTCAAATCTCATCTTCACCTTTCATGTAGAAGATTGCTACTTACTCTTTCCATGAAGCCCTTTCTTTGTCTTTAAGTGCATGCCTTCCGGCGTGCTTATTTATTTTTATTGTCTCAAGGTAACATTTAAAATGTGTAATTAAAGTAAATAAATTACATTTTTGACTTCATTATTGCATTTACAGGGATTTAATTGTACTTGGTAATTTATTTTTTCTTATTAGTCAAAAGTTCAGCGTGTTGTTTTTGACAAATTAGGCGCCCATATGAATACTGCAAATCAGGACATTGTTTATCATTGTTGCTCTGAATCGTCTGAATGATCTTTTCAAGTTCTTGATTTTAAAGGCCCACGCTCAGCCTAGAAGACATTTGCTGTATAATTTGGTCAACAGTTTCCATTCTGTCTATTTGTATACTGTCATGATGTCTTAAACGACAGGAGTTACATACTGAGTTTTTATTTTTTGTTTGCCTTGAGCAAGGTAGATGGATGTTTTGGCCATTATAATGTGAAACCACTTTTTTCTTTACAGTATTTGACCAAATTTGTGTGTCTATGATATTTGTAAATACATGCGATATCTGTATTTCTTATCATAAGCCTATTTAGTTTTATTCTCAGTAGGGTTTTTGGACTGTACAGTGTTTATATGATCTGAACTCCTTATACATAAGAAGGTGTGTATATTAATCCAATTATGGACTTAAAATATTTTAAAAGTATAAATACCCTTATTTGCTGCAAAGACCAGTGTGTAGACATTTGCTTTTTAGCAATATTTTTAAGTGCTCCATTTTAATGCCAAGGAATAAGTCTTTTGGCAACACAAACTGGTCAATAATAGGTAATGCAGGTATGTTCAGGTTAAGCCAACAATGTTTTGCATTTTTATGCTTCTTTTCTGTCAACACTAATGAAGTCAACATTGCCTGAATGTCTGATAATGAAACACATCCCTGTTTAAAAGTATGTAACTGAAAAAGAAATAAAAAATAAAGGTAGTTTTTTTAAACTCGCTTTTTCCCCCTTCCTCTAATCACGGGTGAAGTGATGCTACTCGTAATAACCTAAGGTAGGAATTTTAAAAATCCGGTTCATTTAGTTTTGTGTATGTGAGAAGCCGAGCTAAAGGAAGACGCTTTTGTGTTTTGTGTTTCTGTTTGCATTTTGCTTTGTGGAAGCCCCAGCATAAAGAGTACATACCTGGAACTATCTGAGCTTTCCTTCAAGAAAAAGCCTTTTACACTTCCCTGAACCATTTAATAGAGCAATTAAAACTAATGCCACCAATAAAGCAAGGAAAAGAAACAGAATCATTTTATTCCTTTTAAAAAATAAAGTCATACTTGGGTGTGCACAGAAATGAAATGTGATTAATCACTTTTCAGTGAATGACTTTACCATTGCAGATGGAGAGCATGTATCTGGGACAGACTCACAGCTTATCCTGTGCCAGGTGCTCTCAGGGGAGGTTCCCAAAATGGTATTAATAGTGCGGTGCTTACTGAAAGATGCTCCAGGTAAGATAAGGCAAAGCAGCACCACTGACACCAGCATTCAGAGGCGGTAGACCTGGAGATGAAACATAACAGTCAAAAGGCCCGATGTAGAAAAATCTGATTTAAGATGGGGATTCAGTCGAAACGAAAATGCGGCTGCATCAGCCAGCACCCTCTGAATTGTGAGTGGCTTACACAGTGGGGGTGTACGTTATACTGTGTCTCACTGACAAGGCCAGTGGAAGGGCCGGCTTCCGACGTGCTTGATCCTGGTGTAGACTCAGGATCTCCCTGTGTCTCTCTTTTGCTTCCTCCCGGGCTGTTTTCATTGCCAGGGACACTTCTTCTGTGTGATAGTGAAGTGGCCACCCAGCAACTTCCGACTTCTGCCGTCTTCGTAACCTCAGCCAAAACGAAGAGCAGTTCCTCTCAGCAGTCCTAACAAAATCCTCAGACTGACATTTATTGCTTCCTCGGTTCACAGGCCCACCCCTGAGCCAATTACTGTGGCCAAGGGAATGCTGTTTTCCCACCTTCAGAGGACACACTGGACTGAGACATGAGGTACGAGGTGTGTTAGCCAAGAGGAAGTGAGGGCATGATTACCAGAAGTCAAAGCAAACTGACACTGCCGAGGCAAAATCCATAGGTGGCCATCGTCTTGATGAGAAAAACAGGAGAGAGCCGAAAGGCAAACCTAATCATTTTAAAGTCGAAAATGTTATTATTACTGGACTTTTATTAGTCTGAATATGTTATTAGAAATTATATATAGCAAGTGAATACATTTGAAAAATGTTCTAGACTCAGGTAAAAAATGGAGAGGTCCTCCGTACCTTCTTTGGTGTGTTTTTGTTTATGTGGAGCGTTAAAGGTGTTTGTGATAGAGCTGGGTTGGTAGAGTAAAAACCTGATTTTTCTGCAAGAGTACAAATAAGTGGAGTTACAAAGCTTGGCTGATGTTCAGGATAACTAGTTTCCCCTCTGCCTAAATCTTATACAGACCCACATGTTATTTTCTTAGGAAATTTACTTAATGAGAATGCGTGGATCATAACCAAGGGAAGAACTACATATTATCAGGTTGTATTGCTGGGATATAAAAATGCTTTTGCTAGAAAGAGCAGTTGTTCACAGGAGGGTTCACCATATTGCAATTGTATTCAAATGTAAAAACTGGTCTAGACAGAAGGTTGGCAAACTTTTTTGGGCCAAGAGGCAAAACTGAGGCTCTTAAATACTTGTGTAACTAGAAAGAAAACAAATTTCCACTAATTTTTTATTAATGGAATCCAAATTATATATTAATGCCTGAGTACAATTTTAAAAAAGTACAAGTCTAGTAATGATAGAATTGAATTATTTTGAGGGGATAATATTGCACATAGCTGGGGTTTGAAATCCATGGCAAATGTTCATCTGTTATACTGATTGGTAATGTGACTACATATTTCATCTTCGAGAATGTCTTCCTGCAGATAGATACTACCAAATACTGTTATCAGTCCTTACATGTATGATTTTCATTGAACATATTTATCATTTGGAAGGTACTTACAGAATTCCATTAGATTCCACTCTTGATATTTGCTCTTTGGTCTATCATTCCTTTGCAGGTATAATCACTTCCAATTGAAGGCTAAGTAAATATTCCTCAGTTGTACAATTACGTGGATTTTGAGATCCCAAAGTCCAGCTGGAACTGTGGTTGAGTTTGGAAGATAGATGCACTGCAAATTTGTGTGGGAATGGAGCTCTTGTTCCCTTTGAACTTGACCATGTGGGAAGTTGTGTAAAGCAGCTTGACATTACTCGTGATTTAAACATGAGTTGTAACCGTATTGACTTTGCTGCAGTGTAAGTTTCACATTATAAGTGCTGTTCTGCCTTGTAATTTTAAGTTGAATTTATTAAGAAACATGATCAAATCTGCAGCACAAGCAGAATTCAGGGTTCATCCATAATAGGTAGAGGTGATTCTCATTTAGCAAATTTGCAGTCTTGGTCCTGAGCTGAAAAAAAAAAAATTGCAGTAACACTTTACCTCTGCCCTCAAACTGCTGTATGGTTGGGCCGGTCAGGATCCTCGGTTTCTATTTCTGATAACAACTTCACGGAAGTGATGATGGCTAAGACCATAAGGGTGAAGGAAATACACCATTGACTACGAGTTCAATAACCTGACAGATTCAGGTGTATTCCACAAAATACCTGCTGACAAGTAATACAGAGTATAAACATTGACTTTAAACATCTTACATTTTGACCAGCTTTGTAGATTTGTCCAGTATACCTTTCTCCACTCCACGCGTTTTTAACCACCATCTCTTGCAACACATCTTAGCAGGTTCCACTTCATTCCGCACTGAATTGGTGTTTTCTCAAGTTCCTTAAAAATACTCCTTAAAATAGTTGTTCTTGAGAGGCTCTTCCTAAAGACTAATTCTCGAGACCCTTCAAGCTCAGCACTGACTTCTCTAGTACACAAAAACTGGGCAGTATCGCTAATGTCTGTTGGCTCATCAAAAGCTAAGGAGAGCTACTTGGAATCATTTATCTTGCTTTTTATTTGACTGTTGGTGTCTTCGAGTCTTCAAGCACCCGTCCTTGCTAAAAAGCTAGTCTTCGACAAATTCGTTTTCTCTGCGCATACTTTCTGGCTGCTGCAGTCAAATACAATTAACCTTAAGTCACCATCAGCAAATAGCTCTGCTTGGCTAACAGCCCCTTGTTCTCACTTTTGTGTGTGTGTGAAAGAATTCTACTGCGATGAGATACTCTGTTGTAAGTTTTCTACCTGTTCTGACTGTTGCTTTCCTGTGAGCTGGGGATATTGTGATGAGTGCTTAGTCTGGTAAAGTCACAATAAATTGTATTCTTTTTGCACAGCTAGAGTGTCATTGCATAATAAACACGATGCTTTGCCATATAATTGTATAACAAATAATCCACATTCCACTGTGCCTTAAAAGTGCTATACTTAAAGTTCACTTTACTTTTTTTTACATGATTAATATGCACTCGTAATTAAAAAATAGTAAAATATCTAAGTGACAATATGTGTGGCACTTGAAATGCTGTTGAATTATAAGTGCATCATTGAGATTTGGAGTGTGTTGAACAGCAGTGTGTAGCAACTTGAATGCCACAGATGGTCTCTGTCACACTTATTCACCTCAGCCATAGACACTATGTAAATGAATGAGCTTGGCTGTGTTACAATAAAACTTTATTCATGGACAGTGAAATTTGAATTTCCTACAATTCTTACGTGTCATGAAATACTCTTTTTTTTTTTTTTCCCCAGCCTTTTATTAATGTGAATACCATTCTTAGCTCGTGGACCAAATAAAAGCAGGAGGTGGGCTGGATTTGACTTGCAGACCGTAGTTGGCCAACCTTGGTTCTAGTCCACATTGGATGGATTTGGATATTTGAAGTAAGTTATTCTGGTACCTGATTGACTGTCACTACCTACCAGAAGATAACTTATCCTCCCTTTGTAAAAGGAAGGGCCATTTTTAAATAGCATCAAGAATTATGATAATGGTAAAGAAAATAACACCACAGTGCATATGAGAGTTGGAAATAAAGCCAGTAAGGTATCTGGCTCCCATACGAAGTTAGATGTTGAAGCAGGAAAGAGCCTGAATTTTGAGATCAGACATTTAATTTGGTTCTCACTTCTTCACTTGTAAGAACAACGGCAAAGTTATTTGACTTCTTGGCATCACTGTCCTCCCCTCAAATTGCGGATAATGCCTTCTCTGCAGCGTGGCTCTGAGGGTTAGCGGTAATATTTATAATCACTCTTAATTCAAGGTACTTTTTACCATTCCCCTTATAATAAAGTAGAGTTTAAAACTGAGCAACACCTTGACTTCTCATGCATAGAGTGTGCTTCTGCTCCGAGACAAGAATAAGGCCTGGTATTTATCAAACTTTGTCTTCGATGGAAGCCATCATTCCTATCTGTTGAGAAATATTTGTACCTAATCCTGTCACATTGCACCATTAGCTATCTTGCCTTCCTTAATGGCATTGATAAATTCAAAGCCATCAATTCTATATCTTTATTGATAAAAATGTCAAACTGCAGAGAGCCAGGGCCAGACTCTGTGTCGAGTCCCTGTATCCTACCTGAAGGTCAGTATCAATTCACTGAGCCAATACCACAATCTCTAAGCGTTCAAATGTATGACAGTCCTCCGCATTACTACCATCAGCTTCTTACAGATGCTTTGTGGAAATCCAGGGGAACAATCTAGTTCATTTCTTTGGCCGTTTCCATTATCCCATCAAAAAAAAAAGGAAAAAGGGAACTGGATTTAGTCTGATAGGACTTATTCTAGTGATTCCTTGTATAGTGCTAACAATCACCATTTCTATTTCTAATATTACAAATTGCCTTTTAACTAATTCAGTCTAATCTTACTTTGAATCAACATTATTTATCAATCTGTAAGCTACATGATCCATCTTTTAATTTTTTTTTAAATAAAAATTTCATTTCCCATCTCTCTTCTATCTTGCTCCATTTTATCACCCTCACGGTCTTTCAGTATGAAATCCATCCAGGTCTGGATACTCAGTTTTCCTTTTTAAATATCTGTACCTGTGATGGGCTTCATTTCCTTCTTGCCATATCTTCCCCCCTAACTTTCCTGGCTGAAGGTTGTTCTTGATTTAAAAAAAAAAAAGAAAAAAAAAGGATACTAGAAAAAAACTGCAATAAGCTAAGCCTATATTCTCTTTGTCATCACCCTGTAGCCTGTTC